TACTTCATAAGAAAAAACATAATAAGTCTTACAAATTTATAATCCAAACCAAATGTTAAATACACAACAACTGCTAATGTCAAATTCGAATCATCCTTAAGTACTCCTATACAACAACAATGCTAATCATAAGGGTTTGTGAGATAAAAAATAAGAGAAACAAACTTCTTCCTTAGTTTACTTGCACTTCTAGCTTCGACTTACTTGAATAAGTTTATTTCCTTTCTGCATAACCAGTTTAAGCAAAACAACAACTTAACAAATTTGCTTCATGCTCAAAGGAAGAACATTGAAGAACTGATACAATAATATCACCTCACCTCACAGGTTCAGCTTGAAATTACATACTCTTGCGACTTAGCAGCAAACTCAGCTTGCGTAGTCCCTTCTTAAGCTGCAACCACAAAATACAATAATTTGTCTCAAAAGTTTCAATCAGTTGGAACAAAGAAACCATGCAAATAAAAGAGAGTGGAAGCTTACGTGAAATCTAGTGAAGCGAAAACAAGCTGATCAATTATCCAAGATAGAATATGCGAATCTCAGAGAATCCTATTCAACATTTCTGTTTACATGATCAAATAATAAACACACTTTATGTTGTTAATTACCTCAAGGTGTAGCTGTATGTGGTTTTCACATCAACATGGGCTTCAATCAAAGCATGCCCATTTTTTCACCAATGACCTTAGCTTGCCCGTTGTGAAATCCATGCCCCAAAATTGGGTCAATACATTCCTTCCCTGAACATCTTCAGCAATGAGACGGATCTTCATGTATGCATGATTCTCAACATTCTGAAAATATCAAAAGGAGAAACCTCAAAACCCTTGTGTTTAAATCCATCAGAGGCATATAAACATAAAAACATTGCAACTTATACAAATAACTTTCCTTCTAGGCTGCCCAGTAAATGAGAGTGAATAGCAACGTTAAAGAAATCAAGATACAGAATCTTCAACATTGAATCGTAAAAGTGCAAAGATAATAGTCAAATTCTATTTGATTTTGCTATATTTTGGTTTTAAATTTTCTTGAAGGTTACCTCAACAAGCATACAGTGGTGAAGACACGAAGACAGTTTCACAAAGGTCTTGTTGTTGAGATGTGATACTCATGAGTACAAAGAAAAGTAGACAAAGGTATGATAGAAAGACTTCTACTTGATGTGCTCAAATTTTAGGTTCTAAGATAAATGGACATAGGGTTTTTGAAGTCTACTTGGGTTCTATGAATTACAGTACCTCCAAGCTTTTGAGCTTCCTTGATGATATGAAGAGTTAGAGTTGTCTTTCAAGAAACTTCTTTGCCGTAAACCTCAACCATTCTCCCCTTCATAAAGCCATAAATTTCTATTATAAACACACATTTAGAGAACTCATTGAGTAAAAATGAAAAAGATTAATATACTTTACCTTGACTAGTCCTATCTGAGACTCCAAATTAAACAACCTTTGTCAAAATCACCACAAAGATCTTATACTGCCATAGCCAGAGCAAGCAAAAAGTTACTAATATTATTATTCCCTAAAGACGAATGATAACGATTTCCATAGCTAAATAAGCGAAACTGCCTCTTCTTCCATTCTGCAACAAACAAGGAAAGAGCAGAGAAGAGTAAGCATAAGAGATCTCATACATGTTATATCACCAATTAAGAAACTTAAGGCAAATCACCAATCTATAATTTTTATTTAAACAAAAAAAAGTGAAAATCCAAAGAAAATGCCCTTAATAACTACTACCACAGTCTGAAAAATCAAGTATTTATTAAGAAAACTCTTAGCTTTCTCAAAACTTGGGGGCATCCGGGCATAAATTACTGAAATTTAACCATTATTGGGAAGAAATCGACCTAGCATTAGAGAGGAAGAGAGAAGTTAAGCATAACCTGAGATAAATATGAGAAGAAACGGAATCTCTGAATCTAGTCAACGAGAATCGACACATGAATATAGGCTACCGATGAGTAATAAGAACATACATACATACACTTTTAATTACTTTATATATTTTGGAGGGGCTAAGACAAAAGCTTTTTCTATTACCTATCAACCTCGTATAAGAACATTTGAATAGGACATGGTTCATTGCCTTCTCACTGGCTCTACACCTAGAACACTCAGTGGATTGATTTAGTCTTCTTTTACAAATAATTCCAAAGAACGTTTTGCATTTTTCTCTAAAAGAATATATTTTATTATTAACAAACAGTTAAAAGCCATGACTTTATTCATGTAGTAGTTATTTAAAAAGTGATTACGAGTAGATAAAAAGCCAGAAAAATATATTATGAATCAGAAACAATCAGATCTTGTGCGTCGATTGATTTTAGTGCTTAAGATGAAAATATTTTTAACCGTGTCCACCTCTGTTTACACGTCTCCGGTTTCCACATCCACGATCTGCAGACTGAGAAAGCATCTTCTTAGCCTTTGCCAGAGTGTGGAGTGCCAATTTACATTCCACAATGCAGAAGACATATCGTAATCAACAAAGTCAGATCTAAATAAAAATACTTTTATTTCTCGACACAGCATTATTAACTAATACAGCATTAAACTCACACAACTAATCATCAAAAGATTCGATTAAAAAACAAAGCAATACTACTAAAAAAAGACTTAATAATAGACTTTTTTTCCTTTTTTTATTAAAAAAAAAACAAATATTATACGGCTCACGAGAAAAACAGAGAACTAATTAGTAAAGTTACGAATAGTTGCCCCTGGCTCCATCGCCTTAGCTTCCGGCGCCGGTTTCACATCCTTCGACGGTGTAACCGCCGTTCCGGTTAGCTCCACCGGCAAATCAGCAATACCCTTTAAGTAAAAAGTGTAGAACAGTTTTGTCGGATACACAAGCTGACGAAGCTTCACTTGTCCGTACGCACCTTCAAAGATTCCAGACCCACCAGTTACGGCGAGGAACGTGTCTTCATAAGTCAAGTACTGTCCTTGTACAGACAAGTGACCATAGTCACCGAAGTAGAAACTGTAATTAGCTTCGAATCGATCACCGTTCTTCTCCGGTACGTGTTGGATCAAGACGCAGAGTCCGGCAGTGATTCCCACGCGTTTTTTGAGATCTCCGGTGTATAGTTTGTTAGTGAATGGTACGAGATCTCCGAGACAAAGCTCTGGTTTTTTGCCGAGTTTTAAAACTGCAGGACTGTTTCGATCTCCTTCGTTGAGCTCGTACACGTTTAGTTCTTGGATTTTACCTGAAGAACACAAATACTCGATTTTTAGCTTAAAGTTTTGGTCTTTTACAGAAATACTCGATTTTTACCTGAAGAACACAAATACTCGATTTTTAGCTCAAAGTTTTGGTCTTTTACAGAAAATTTCTCAATTTTGGAAGATCAAAAGTCAAAATTTTCAAGATCTATGATTATGCTTAGAAAAATTGCAAATTTATGAAATGGGCATTTTGATTTGTAGCTTAAAAACAGTATTTTGTCTTTAAGACGAACTTACTTGGTCTGGAGTTTTCAGTTTTGCCCCAATTCCAGAAGAAAGCTCGAGTAGGTGTGAGGTTCTTGGAAGTGGATCTTGATCGGGAGGAGAAATCTGGACCGTTAGATGAGATCTTAAGGTTTTGGAAAGATCTGGAGAAACCAAGAAGAGAGCTTCGATGAAGTTGATGATTAATGGAGAGATTGTTGAGAGTAGTCATAGAGATTGATTCGAGAGACATAGCAGAAGAAGCCATTGAATTAGAAAAAAAATACTGAGAGAGTTTTGTTTGATTGATTTAAGACTATTAAAGAAGAGACTAGGACTTTGGCTTTTAT